CTTGGTATTTTCTATCGTTGATTGATGATTATTGACGAATGGTGCAGATTTATGTGTTGAAGCATAAGAGTGCCATGTTTAAAGCCTTCAAGCAACGAAGGGCGCTAGTAGAGCAAAAGACAAAGAAGAAAGTGTAGTGTTTCTATATTGATAATAACATGGAGTTCTATTAGAAAGAGTTTGATGACTTCTTTATGAAGGAAGGCATCACAAGTTACCGTATTGTAGAGAGACCCTTGGCAAAATAGAGTTGCAGAGAGGATGAATTGAACATTATTGGGGAAAGATTGATGAATGTTCTCTAACTCAAGATTGCCGAAGAATTTTTGGGCTAAAGCAATTAGTACAACAACTTACTTGGTAAATAATTCCCTAGCTATACCTATAGATTTCAAGGCTCTGTTTGAAGTATGGTCAGGTAAACTGGCGAATTGCTCTAATTTGAGAATTATAGTATTAGGTGCACCATATATTTTTATGTTAGCGAAGGAAAACTAAAAGCAAGGGAGAAGAAGGAAGTATTTCTTGTTTATAGTGATGGGGTCAAAGGATATATAATTTGGTCTGCTAAGATCAAAGTTGATACACTATAAGGATGTCATACTCGATGAGAGTTTATGCTTAGCCCAAGAAAGGAATAATATACTCTAATAGCAGAGAAATGTGCCAGTAAATAGTGGAGTCTCCTATAGCTACAGTTTTTTAAAAAAGTCGACCAGTCTAGCAAGAGATCCAATAGGAAAATCATGATATTCGGCAGGTTTAGGAGGTTTAAGGAACCTCAAGCGATCAAATAGAGTCGGTAATAGAGCAACAACAAGATCCAAAAAGTATACCTCTAGCCAAGCCAAAAGGTAAATCTAACCTCCTCAGAGCTATTGCGTGCCCGAAATCTACAAGATGGGTTGTTGCTATAGGAGAGTAGATGAAGTCTCTTCATAAGAATCATACATAGAATGTAGTCAAACCACCGTAGGCAAGGAAGACTATTGATTGCATGTAAATCTTTAAGAAGAAGTTAGAAAACCCTAGTACTATAGGAACAAGGTACAAAGCTCGTCTATTTGAAAAGGGCTATAGTTAGAAAGAGGGTGTGGATTACAATGAGATATTCTCTCAGTAGCTAGACACACTTCTATTCAGTTGTTACTCATTTTAGTAGCAAATTAGGATCTGGAGCTTACAAATAACTAGATGTGAAGAAGGCTTTTCTCCATGGTCAGTTGGAGGAGACCTTTATGAGCCAACCGGAAGGTTATACAATTCCAAGAAAAGAAGATCACATGTGAAAGTTAGTGAAATTCATATACGGGTTGAAGCAGTCTCCTAGACAATGATACAAGAGACTTGACAGCTTCATATGGAGCATGGGTAGAATAGGAGTCAATTTGACAGCTGTGTCTATCATAGGAGGCTCAATGATGGCTCATTGGTTTATTTACTCCTACATAAGGGTGTCCAAGTGGGGTGCTCGGCCTAGCCCGCAAATCCGGGTCCGGGCTAGAAAAATGCCCTACATGGATCAGGGCCCTGATCTACTAGGTCGGGACCGAGTTTGGGTCTTGGTCCGGGCAGTTGAGGCCAGACACTTGACTGTCCCGACTATTTCTATTTTTAATTTTTTGCTAAAATTTTTGAATTGTTTACAAAAAATAAAAGAAATTTAGAGTTTTCAAAAATAAAAGATATGAATTTATAAGTATTTAAAAAGTGAAATTATTACAAAGAAATTCAATGTTATTATTAATCACTTAGAGTTATACAATTTATAAAATTTAGACAAATTAATCAATCAGAAATAAATTCTATTTTATTATTAATTTGATAATCTCTAATAATTACAATATTTTTTTAAAAATTATCTCATCAAAATAAATGAATATATCCCAACTAGGTTGGTATCTACTCATATATGTCAATATCATTTACAACTCTTTCCAGAATAATTTATTACAGATTTATAATTCCAAAACTAAAATTTATAAATAACCTTCTATACTTGTTCTACAAAATCTGCTATCATCAAATATTGAAGTATTTCTTCAATATTAGCAAAACGGTTGATGCTTTAATGTTTATTTTTTGATGCCCACCAATCTTATAAACGCATTATCACCTGTACAGTAGATTATTTTTTGACGCCCACCAATCTTATAAACGCATTATCACCTGTACAGTAGATGGATCTAGAAATTTTCTACATTCATCAATCAAATGTTTTGATGAACTAAACATTTTGATGCACTAAAGCTTTTCTCAAGCTCGGGCCTAGTTCTGGCCCGCCTGAATCAGGCTAAATTTTGGGTCTGGTTCGAGCCACAGTCGTTTTGGACAACGCTACTCTTATATGGATGATATGCTCATTGTATCTCGAGCATTATGGCTATTTGAGAATTGAAAGTGTCAACTCAATGTAAGCTCTTTCTATCACAAAAGAACTACATTCAAAAAATTCTGGAGAGATTTGGTTTGTCAATAAACTCTGTGACTACCCCTTTGATAGTGCCTTTCACCTTTCTTTTGATTTAGCATCAACAACAAAATCCGAAACTTAGTTCATATCAAGAGTCCCATATTTGAGCCCCGAAGGTTTTGATACAAACTATGATGTGCACTTGCTCTTACATCATGCATGTTGTTAGTGTGGTGAGCTGGTGTATGATGAAACCGAGAAAAAGTTACTAGGAAGCAAATATTTTGATATCTCAAAAGAACAATGGATGTTGGTGTAGTTTATGAAGGAGTTAGTACAAAGTTGGATGTGATATGATATGTTGATTCAGATTATGCAGGAGACTTGGATGAAAGGAAGTCGTTAAAAAGTTATGCTTTTACACTTAGAAGTTTTGCTATTAGCTGGAAGGCAACATTGCAGTGCTAAGTTCCACTATCTCCTAATGAGGCAGAGTACATGTCAGTGACAAATGTGGCAAAAGAAGGCATTTGGTTAAAAGGTCTCCTTAGCGACATAGGTCTTCTTCAGGAGAAAGCTATAATATTTTGTGATATTCTGATTGCTATATCCTTAACAAAAGATCAAGTCTTTCATGAGAAGACGAAGCACATCGACGTGAGGAACCACCTCTTAGGGTTAGAGAAGAGGAATGAGGTGAAGATACTAATGATAATCCAACAGATATGATGACCAAGCCAATTTCAATTTGCAAGTTCATGCATCGCATGGACTTGCTCAGCATCAAGAGATGATGATAGCTCCATGGGCTCTAATGGCAACATTAGTTTTTAGCAGAGTTGATCAAATTTAGTCCAAGAAGAAGATTTGTTACAGTTAGCTAGTAATCCTCTCTCCTATTGAATATAATTTTTAGCCAATAGAAACCATATTTGAATAGGGATTTAGGAATCATTATTGTACTTGAATTTAATTCAATTTAAGTAGTTGAATGCCCAGATCTAGGGCATGACAAAAATTAAGAGAAAGAGAGTATCTAAAAAAAAATATCCTGATCAGAGAGAGTTTGAGAGATCATCAATCTCATCTTTAATAGTTGTAATCTCTTCTCTAATTTAGTGAAAGTTTGTCTGCTTCTACCTGTAGAAAAATCATGTAAACCCTTATGATTGTGCTTGTAGTTTTATTTTAGCTATTATTTTGTGATCTCGATTTCCACTATGCTTTATGTTACTATAAGTAACAATTGTTAGAACATAGTTCATATGATATCTCTTGTTTGAGTAACAACAAACTCTCATTTATTAGTGATAATTATTTGAGATGATATATTTCTAGTATAAATAAGTATATGAAAGATACGAGGCAAAATGATACAAAAATCAACATTCATGTTGATTTCAACCATCACACCATCGATGGTCATAAGGACATCATTGATGATCATGAGTCAATCTATAGATTACAGTGCACAATTGAAGAAAAATAGAAACATGAATCACACAATTGATGGTCTACATGGAACCATCGATGGTCAGCTATACATGGACTATAGTGCATATTTGATAATTTCCAGAAACTACATCTCAGCCAATTGATAGCTTATAATGTAACCATCAACGGTGCATAGGGGATCATTGATGGTCTGGATTGCTCATCGATGGTGACAACGAGTTTTGGCAGATTTTGTGATTTAATCTTAATTGTTCGTTTACCCCTTTTCTCTCCAATTGCTACTATGATTCCTATATCTCTTTCATTTTTATGAAATACCATATAAGATAAGAATAGATCATATTTTAGAGAGATTCTTGCATTAAGAAAAAAGAGAGAGATTTTATTCTAGTGTTTGTGTAAAGAGTTGATTTGTGATTAAATCCCTGGAGTCTTATCAAACTTTATCTCGTAGTGGTCAGCATCTTCGGATCGTTTTAGCAAGGAGAGTTGCCCTTGGATTCAACATCATCAACACTTCTTCATCAAGTTTTGCTTCAATTCTTTTGAAAACCGATTTGCTTAAAAAGGGTTGCATGATCTTTTTTATTTGAGTTTAAATTGTTTTGGTTTGTTTGTTTTATCTTGTTTTTATGACGTAAGGGGGTGATAATTGAGGGTTATGACTAGATAGGGCTAGTGTTACTCATATGTGATGAGTTAGGTTAGATGAGTAGTTTCGGGTAGATTCCAAGATGCAGTCTTTGTGAACTTGCTGAATTGGCTTACGATTCATGTGAACTCAGGTCATAGTGAAGAAGCCCCTGCGTGAGAAGGAAGAGTGGACGTAGGATTTCTATCAAAAACAGTATAAAATCTTGTGTGTTCTATGGTTTGTGATTGGTTTGGTTTTTCACTTGTATTTTGATATTATTTCCGCTGTAAAATCTGTGTTTCAACAAAAATCTATAGCAAACCTATTCACCGCCCTTTAGGCTTGTATCTTAGTTCAAACAAGTAACATACCTCTTCATCCTTCCAAGAGAATCCACAAAGCACAAGAAAAATTAATACAACACACATTTTCACAAGAAAATTAATAAAACACATGTTCTTTTTTTTATTTTATGCTAATTTCTAAGAGCTACTAATCTTCCACAATATATAATATATAACCTATAAAATAATTTCTCATATCATTTCTTGAGAGATATCAGTCTTATGCAGTAATAATGCTATATATTCCTTACATCTAGTTGTCAGTCTTGATCCCTTAAGAAAAAATAATTAAAATATGAAAAATAGATTAAAACAATAGCATAGCTTGTAGCTAATATCTATGACTAGTTATTCTACAATAATCAGGATCTAGACAAGGCAATACAGTAATAATAGCTTATAATCTCTTATTTAGGATTCGGGTTTGAGAGTTCCGTATCCAAACCAAGCCATGATCGGGTCTCTTGATTCTTGTTCAAATCTCCCACTATTGAAGAACATTCGTTTACTTGATAGGGTGCTTTTGAATTTATCCTGCATTCGGAAATTTAAAAAATTGTTAGTAATTTATATAATAAATTTAGATGAACTGGATATTAAATAAAAATAAACGTGGAAATTACTTGCCTATCTTTTCTTTTAGCAAAGAATCTATGCAGGGAGGCCCTCCTTGCAATTGGCATAGATAAATCTATTTGCAAAACACATAATATTTATTAGGTTAACTGACACTAAATATTTCTAAAAAGAGAAATAAGATTTACACCTAGACAACAAAGTACATCTTGTTGAAATCCAAAAGTCATTTTGTGGAAACCTAAAAGACAAAATGAATGTGGACATTACTTTATTAATGTGGAATATTTATTGGTGACTTTTCATTAGTCCAATGTCTTTTTGTTTTCCACAATGTATCTATAAATTGGTGGATGTATGGAAAAAAGGATATGAAATAAAAATTACAATTTATCTTATTCTCTTGTCTCTTGTCCATTTTTCGTTTCATTTCTTTAGTATATTACAACACGTTATCAGCACGAGTGGCTCTAGCTGGTTCGTGATCATCGGTTCGTGGTAATAGATTTTTCAATATATATCTTCTGCAAGGTAATAATACATTTGACATTTGTCTATTTACAAAGTTTCATGGTTTCGTTATCGATTATGCCTCTATAACAGTATGTTATGCAATTTACTTTGGAACCATGTGATGATGATATATTGACTATGTTTATTTGATGTTGAAATCTGTAGTATGATGTATTTTAAAAACTTTAGTATCTTTAATCAATATGATAGTATACCAAATTCACTTAAATTTCATATTACAACAAGGTGAAATGGAAGACTGTTATATGGATAATATACTACAATGATTGTAAAAATGTATGGAACAGAGATACACAATATTAATTTTTTGGTAATTCAGTTATTTAATTGTTTACAAATATAGTATACTTGAGAGACATAATGTCTAAACCTTCAAGAGTGGAGCAATGATTTCCATTGCTATAAAAGCTCCCAATGTCATGATCTCCATTTTTTTAAATTATGCTTTTATGAAATTAATTCATTTTGGCCTTTTATTCTTGTTTTCCTGGACAGTGCAGTACATGATACTTATATTCTGAATCACATTCCACACTTGATGGTCATGATATTGCATATTAATCACTGGAGATTGGTTGGTTTACTTGATATACATTCTTAAATTATTTTTTTCTTTTCACTTCAACAAAGCCGTTTGCTTCATAATTAAATCTGGCATTAAGCCTCCTATCTCCTCAAGGAGGATACCATGTAATATATCCAGTCACTGGGGACTATTCACTCCATGTAGAAAGGTAGAACCACATACACGCACATAAGTAACACATTAATTTTCTTAACAAACAAAACTATGATATGAGTAATGCGCAGTCAAGTAATTGAAATAAACTACTACATAGTACATTAATGTTGAGCACTATCTAAACTCTGTCAACGTGCACTACTATTAACGACATAAGATATATATTAAGTATGATGTAGCTTTATTTAAACGAGTACGTTACACAATCTTATGCACAATCACAGCAAGCTTTTTGAACTCTATAGTAAATTCTGTAAAGTGAATGAATATTCGGCTTTAGCAAAAATGAAGCGGCATGCATTGTAACTAATGATTTGTTTATTCACTTCTGTTTGTATGCACACTTTGTATAGTGCAATATTTTATAAATTTGGTGGATTGATATATCTTCTTTTGATAATTATAGCATTTCTGAACAATGTCTGACATCATCAAAAGGGAATTTGCTGAGCTTGCCGTTGATGGCAGCAATTACTTGACTTGGGCTTTAGATGTTGAAATCTACCTGAATTCTTGTGATTTAAGCAACACTATTGCTCCAGCTTCTCAGAGCACCTCTGCCCAGAAGGCAAAGGCATTGATTTTTCTTCGTCATCATCTCAACAAAGACCTGAAAAATGAGGGCATTGATTTTTCTTCGTCATCATCTCAACAAAGACCTGAAAAATGAGGGCATTGATTTTTCTTCGTCATCATCTCAACAAAGACCTGAAAAATGAGTACCTTACTGAAAAAGATCCTGCTGTTCTATGGCAATCCCTGAAGGATCGCTTTGACCAACAGACGGCTATTATGCTTCCGCAAGCACAGTATGATTGGTTAAACTTGCGATTTCAGGATTTTAAATCCGTAACTGAATACAATTCAACCCTCCACCGCATTGTCTCACAGCTGAAGCTCTGTAAGCAGAACATTACAGAGGCTGAATTGATTGAAAAGACCCTCTCTACATTCCATGCAAGTAATCTTGTACTCCAATAGCAGTACAGGACCAAAAACTATTCAAAACACTCTGAATTGATCTCTGCGTTACTAGTTGCAGAGAAACACAACCAACTTCTGATGCGCAACCATAATGCTAGACCAGTTGGTTCGCTAGCTGTGCCTGAAGCACATGCCACAAATCAGAGTAATACTCATGGACGTGGACATGGTAGAGGTCGTGGACGTGGTCGCGGGTCTTATCATGGTGGTAGAGGTCGTGGTCGTCGCAATGCTTATGGTCTTCAGGACCATGGCAAGGGTCAGAACAAGGATAGATCTCCTTCAAACAAGCCTAACTCTCATCAACATGTTGCTAATAACAAGCAAGCTTGCTATCGGTGTGGATGTGAGGACCACTGGTCTCGCACATGTCGTACACCGAAACATTTGGTTGAGGCCTATCAGAGAATGATGAAGGACTCAAAGGGGAAGTCAAAACAAGGTGAAAAACATCATGCCAGTTTGCCTGAAGCAAACATGGCCCTAAAAGATGACAATTATGATGATAACCTGAATCTGGACGATGATGACTTATTGAAGATGGAGCTTGATGATTTTGATGACCAGGAGTGATCATGTTATGCATGTTTTATTAGTCTATTTTAGTTTTTCAAGACTTGTTCTAGTTGTTTGTATTCTCACTAGGCTTATTTTACATGTTTTTCGTAAGAAAATTTTAATTTCGAATGGGTTTATTTAAATTATTATGTATTTACCTTGATTATTCCCCTTTATCTAATACGTGGTTGTGGAGAAGTTTCCATCTTTCTCCTCAGGGTTGTACTATACATATATCCGACCTAAAATACACCATGTTGCGATGAATTTAAGATTTAGGGACCCAAATTCTTTTAAACTCTGGCATGAGAGATTGGGTCATCTTGGGTAAAATTTGATCCGTCGGATTTTCTTAAATTAAATGGGGCATTCAAACCAAATCCGACCAACTGCATATCACAATTTTTCCCCTTTATCTAATACGTGGTGTAGAAGCAAAACATTTCCCATCTGCGTATTATTTATTTGCAGTCCATGTTTCTATATCACCACCATAGCGTACCTCTATGGGACCTCGGTGAAGGTACATACATTATTTATGAAACTCCGTCAATAATTTAGTACCTATGGCCCATGTTAGGGGATCAATTTACAATTTAGTACGCTGACTGCATTATTATTGAAGATCAATTCTCGACATTAGGGGGAGATTAGTGCCCAAAATACAAAATAATGTCAAGAAATTCCATTGGTGAAAAAGATCTTCAATATTTATATCCACGTACTAATCAAACTGAACCAGAAGTTCACATGATAATCTGCCAAGAAAAGAGTGACTAAGCCCCATGTTCATGTTGAATATATCATTGATGATTTAGTATGCCAGAAGCATATTGTGCCAGAAGCATATAAAACATGTTAGTGTAAAAGATAAAAGTCCGCGGCAAACTAAATTATATATATAGAAAGACAGTCACGCTCATAACCTCCAGAAGAGGTTCATCCTGAAGATGGAATCTCCAGTAAATTGCATGTGCACTAGATAATCACAATACTGGAGATGCGGAACGGCCAAATCCAAACGTTAAGGGAAATGGCGAGGATTTGGTTAACATAAAATAAGAATTAAAGTGGCCACGAATTTGTGAAAAAGGAGAAATATATAATAGAAATATGAAAGTTGTCGACAACATAGTTGCCTCTACAGTTGCTCTTACTATCTCTGAAAATAATCTGGATCCAGAACCTAAGTCGGTAGTAGAGTGCTTGAAGCACTCGAACTAGGTGAGATGGAAAGTGGCAATTGAGACTGAGCTGAACTCGCTAAAGTATTTTGAACATGTAGTTCATATATCCCTGCAGGATATAAATGGGTCTTCATAAGAAAAATAAATGAGAATTGTAAGGTGGTAAGATATAAAGCGAGATTCATAGCTCAATGGGTTCACGTAGAGACCCGACATCGATTTAGATGTAAAATATTCTCCTATTAGTGATTGTATTACGTTTCGCAAGTTAATACCTATGGCAGAAACTATGAATTTATATATGCAGTATATGTACGTCATGACCATATTTTTATATGTATCATTAGATGTTAATATTTTTATATGAAAGTCCCAGATGGACTTAAAATCCCTAAATTGAGTGAAAATGAAAATTGCAACATGTATAGTATTAAATTGCAAAGGTCATTATACGGCTTAAAACAGTCGGGTAGGATGTGGTATAATCGACTGAGTGATTTCCTCCTGAAGAGGGGATATGTAAATAACGACTTATGCCCTTGTGTGTTTATAAAGAAATCCGAAAATGGCTTCTGTATCATCTCAGTTTATGTTGATGATATAAATATTATTGGAACGCACAAGGAGCTTACAGAAGCTAGCTCATGCCTAAAGACGGAGTTTGAAATGAAAGACTTGGGAAAAACCAAGTTTTGTCTCGGCCTGCAGATCGAGTATTTCCCAGAAGGAATTTTTCTACACCAGTCGACCTACGTGAAAAAGGTCTTGGAAAGGTTTTATATGGACAAATCTCATCCACTTAGCACACCAATGGTTGTCCGGTCCCTCGAAGTGGATAAAGACCCATTTAGACCCAAAGAAGATAATGAAGAAATGTTAGGGCCAGAAGTTCCCTATCTGAGCGCTATTGGAGCACTTCTCTATCTCGCAAATTGCACCAGGCCTGATATAGCATTTGCGGTGAACTTACTAGCAAGGTATAGTGCTTCTCCTACAAGGAGGCATTGGAATGGTGTTAAACATATCCTTCGTTATCTTCAAGGAACAAAAGATCTTGGACTATTCTATAAAAGATACTAAGATATGACATTGGTAGGCTATTCGGATGCTGGCTACATGTCTGATGCCCGTAACGCCAGATCCCAGTCTGGTTATGTATTTCTCTATAGTGGTACTGCCATTTCTTGGAGGTCTGTCAAGCAGACCATGGTGACTACTTCTTCTAACCACTCAGAGATTATCGCTTTATATGAGACCTCACGAGAATGTGTATGATTAAGATCGTTGATATGACATATTTGTGGTTCGTGTGGTCCAGCGAAAGATGATATTTCCCCCACTGTCCTTTATGAGGACAATGCAGCTTGTGTTGCACAAATGAGCAGTGGATATGTAAAAGGAACCATGACAAAATATATTACGCCAAAATTCTTTTATCCACATGAGCTCCAAAAGAATGGTGAAATCACCATCGAAAAAGTTCGCTCAAGTGACAATCTTGCAGATTTGTTCACTAAATCTATGCCTACGTCAACTTATGAGAAATATGTTCACAATATGCATAGGCTCAAAAGACTATCTTCTTCAGGGGGAGCAAATTCTTAAAGAACAATCCTGAAGATTGGGCCCTGAAGGTCTATTATCATAATTTGCCCCTTTTTCGCTAAGTTTTGTTCCATTGGGTTTTTCTTAGCATAGACTCAGAAGATTATCATCATCAGCGGGAGCGAATTTTCAACGCAATCCCGAAGATTGTGCCTTGAAGGACTATAGTTGTACTCTTTTTTCCTTTTGCTAAGTTTTGTCCCACAGGGTTTTCTTAGCTAAAGGTTTTTAATAAGGCAACTAATGCAACACAAGTTTGGATCCCGAAGATCTATAGTTGTACTCTTTTTCCCTTTATTAAGTTTTGTCCCATAGGGTTTTCTTAGTTAAATGTTTTTAATGAGGCAACTAATGCAACAAGAATCTACTAATGTCGTGTACTCTTTTCCTCGACTAGTTTTTATCCCACTGGGTTTTTCTAGCGAGGTTTTTAATGAGGCATTGACATCTCGAAGTAATGTCCAAGGGGGAGTGTTAAAATCCAAAAGTCATTTTGTGGAAACCTAAAAGACAAAATGAATGTGGACATTACTTTATTAATGTGGAATATTTATTGGTGACTTTTTATTAGTCCAATGTCTTTTTGTTTTCCACAATGTATCTATAAATTGGTGGATGTATGGAAAAAAGGATATGAAATGAAAATTACAATTTATCTTATTCTCTTGTCTCTTGTCCATTTTTCGTTTCATTTCTTTAGTATATTACAACACATCTGATTTACTTTAGCATTTCTACAAAAAAAAATTTCTTTAATGAAGCCCACGTTATAATAACATATAAAAAGTTTTAGAATATTGGAAAACAGTCATCAACAAATGAATCATGGGAAAAAGGCCATAACTTAGTTCCAAGTTCCAACCATCTTCAACAACTCTAAAAAATAGTAGAGATGTTGTTCCCTTTTTGTAGTTGTTTGAGTAACACTGACAGACTAAATTTATCTCGAGAATAAAACATCTAATATACTAAATTTTAATCATACGTGGAAAAGTCATTAATTGAGAGTCTGAAAATTCTTTATAGTATGACTTAGGACTTATCTCCTCTTGAATATTAGAAAGACGTTTTCAAAGTTGTCCCATACTTTTTCATTGATTCTTTTTTAATATAACATATTATAGCATAATATATTATAGGCTAATTAAATATCATCCTCCCTTTACACAGAGGGTGATTAAACCCCAATAACTATAAAAATATTAGAAAATTTGGGGCTATCATAAAATCCCCTTTAAATTTATGATTTCAAACTTCCTTAACAGCTTTAATTGTAATTTTTCACATTGGTAATAAAATTACACATGGGGATATTTTTTTCCAATGAAAACTGCGATTAACACTTTTAGGGGGTTTCGAACTAAGTTTTAAAGATAAAAGTGGTTTTCTGATAACCCCTTTTATGATAGTATTTTGAAAGTTACAGGGTTATCTGATAGTCATCTAAATTTGCGAGTGTTTTCTCCTTTTTTTTTTTTTTTTGGCTTTTGGGGGGGGGGCTGGGGGGGGGTGTCCCATACTTTTTCATTGATTCTTTTTTAATATAACATATTATAGCATAATATATTATAGGCTAATTAAATATCATCCTCCCTTTACACAGAGGGTGATTAAACCCCAATAACTATAAAAATATTAGAAAATTTGGGGCTATCATAAAATCCCCTTTAAATTTATGATTTCAAACTTCCTTAACAGCTTTAATTGTAATTTTTCACATTGGTAATAAAATTACACATGGGGATATTTTTTTCCAATGAAAACTGCGATTAACACTTTTAGGGGGTTTCGAACTAAGTTTTAAAGATAAAAGTGGTTTTCTGATAACCCCTTTTATGATAGTATTTTGAAAGTTACAGGGTTATCTGATAGTCATCTAAATTTGCGAGTGTTTTCTCCTTTTTTTTTTTTTTTTGGCTTTTGGAGGGAGGGCTGGGTGGGGTGTTTTATTTTTTGGTTGTGGTGGGGGAACATCTGATTTAACATGATATATGACGTTACATTCTTTTCATAATGGATGTCCTGATGTCCTATCTTTTTTAGTAATAAAGGGTCTAAACCAAATGATGGACATCAATTTAGGGATTTTTTAATTAAATTTTCAAAGTACTAGAAATCGGGTAGTAAATTACCAGAAGGACTTTGTTGCACCGGCTGCGGGCAGTACCCGGGTAGCTTTTCAGCCAACGCCGAGGTACTTGCCATCTTCATCAAGTCCTTCGCCTTCTCCAATGGAAAATTATCAAAAACCACCACTTTTCCTTTGTAAAATATCGTCAGCTGATGTTTCCCTAATTCCCTAATAAAAAGTTTACAATATCCAAGGCTTAAGAAAATAATTACACAAAAAATCAAAAAAGGAAAAAAAAAACTATTATGGCGATGCTTACTTTGTAAAATTATTGTTGTCAGCAGGGCCAAAGCTTATCGGAAACAAGTGCATTGATTTTGCCGATTTTTGGTTCGTGACGGTAAAATTTTCGGTGGTGTCAGTTTTGGTTTCGGCCAACGTATCGGCCCCTGGTAGCAGGCTCATAATGGTTGGTGGCCGAAATGATCCTAAACGTGAAAAACATTTCCATTATTTTACTTGCAAATAATAAAGCAATTAACAAAACAACCCAGAAGATTCATCTATTTCTAAATAATTAATGATTTCTTCTTAACAATAGAAAATAGTTTTTCTGGCAAACTTTTTAACAGAGGAAATTATTAATCCACACATAAACAAATTATATTTAACAAAAAAAACTAATATTCAAAGTCTATTCAGAAAATTTTTTCAACTGCTTAGTTATTAAAAAACTATTTCAGAAATCTATTATAAGCATTTTAAAAGAAGTTATCTGGTATCCTTCCATAAAAAAGAAAAAAAGAAAAAGTTATCGGGTAATATAATTTCTAGCAAAAATAATTTCTACTAATTAAATCCCAGACCCTTTTTGTCTTAAAAAACATCCACTTCTTGAGAAAGAAGGGGGGAAAACCCTAAACAAAACTCAACTCCTAAAATCTTACAAAATTCAAAGAAAATATATCTAAAAATAAATAAGTTGATTTTTTATGTAAAACCGGCACCTATATTTTGTTCTTTATTTAATTACAAAAGATATCTTAACAGTAAAACCTATAAATTCAACTACTCAATTATTAATCCTCAATTTATTAGAAGCATCTTCAAAAGTAATATATCAAGATTTTTCAACATAAGAATTTTTAGTTAATACAAATCCTAGAGTTTTATTTTTTGGCAACACCCAACTTCTTGAACATAGAAAACTCCACCCAAAAAAAAAAAAGAAAAGGAAAAAATTAAAAAATCATAAATGGGTTAAACTTGTGTAAAAAGGTTACCTTTGGTTGATTCCTGAGGCGAAGAGGGAATCTCAACGCTCCTCTTCGCCTTGAGGAACTGGCTCAAGCGGCTGCACGTAACAGAGAAGCTAGACTTTTTCTCAGACGTCATCTCTTATTCTCACCGGCGGAGCACCCGATTCGAGGTCTCAGTTTGCTTGCCCTGTGCTTTTCCTTCTCGCTATGATTTCGGTCTTGTTACTTTATAAACTAAAAAGCACGTGGTGATTTTGGGGGTTTGGAGAGAAGGAGCACGTTTTCTAGAGGGAGACCAAGTCTTCACTAAAAAGGCTACAGCACAAGGATGTGAAACAGGTGCGGGGCTGTTTGAACGTTTGATGATGAAACAGTTTCCTGGGGCCCACAAGCATGAGAACAAAGGAGGTAAAGTTGATCTCTGATTTGATTCTTGGAAAGAGATGCGCAAACGGACGGTCCGATTTATTTTAATATTTATTTTGTCAAAATTGGAATCGTGATTTATTCAATTCGACCCGAACCTAGTTACTTCAGTTTGGTTCCATCCATCCTGTTCGGTCTCTGAACTGAGTAAACATGAAACTTATGCATTTTTTTAGACTGGCTTAGATGTACGTAGATCCAAATAAAACTTGGATATCATGGGCTATTTCAGCTTGTTCATTCTATAAGCATTGAAGAAACTCCAATCCGAAATGAATCGAATATAAGACCAAATTAAACTAACACGAGTAAGACTGTATTGTGTTGCGCGCCGTGCGAAAGCGTGCTCGCAAACCAACTGAGTCGACGAGCGATGAGAGAAGAACCAAACACGAGTGTAATTCACAAAATTAACATCCAAAATCACACAAATACAGAGATTTACGTGGTTCGGGAAATTTCCTACGTCCAGGGGAGAGGATGGGGAGATTTCACTATATGGAGGAGAAACAACGGGTTACAATCTCTCAAATAACTCTCAAAATAACCCAACCAATGATCTCACACTCCCTCATAATAATTTCCCACACAAAACTGCTCAAAACAATGTTAATCCTTTGGTTAAGAAACCCTAGAAATGTGTGTTTCTATTTATAGCAAAACCTAATCCAAAACAAACCAGGAAACAAATCCGGCCCATATCCGCTTTTCGGTCGACCGCAGGGGTTGCACCGGTCGACCGGCCAGAGACAAATTTCCAAGTTCCTGTAATGTGCACATTTTCGGTCGACCAGTCGAACTCGTTAGGTTGACCGACTAGAAACAGGGTTTCAGACCTTGTAATCCAACAGGTTGTCGGTTGACCGGACCTATGTCGTCGGTCGACCGACCCGATAGAAACCTGTAGTCTCTTCCCAGCTTCAAAATTTCTATTTTCGCCGTGTTTTCTACAATTCTCCACCTCGGCAAAGTGTTTCAAAAACTGAGCCGACACCAACATAAGCACCAATGCGTCGTCTCACCAAATCCGGCTGCACCAATGAGGTTGCCTACGTACCCCCTCTCCCAAGGGATCAAGCCGCCCTTAGTTCATCCAAATGGCTACAAAAGGCCTCAACAATTACGAATTTGCAATAAAGTTTTTACAATGATCAAACTTGTTGCCCGGGATCACTTTCGTGAGCATATCCACTGGATTATCTTTTGTGTGGACCTTCATGTGCTCCACATCCCCATCTTCAAGAACATCTCGAACGAAGTGATAACGAACGTCGATATGCTTCGTCCTCGCATGAAAGCCATGATTGTTCGACAAATAAATAGTACTCATGCTATCACAATAAATAGTGACGGATCGCTGCGAAACACAAAGATCCTCCAAAGTCCTCGAAGCCAAATCGCCTCCTTAACAGCCTCCGTAATCGCCATATACTCTGCCTCCATTGTCAACAAAGCCACAATAGACTGTAAGGTGCATCTCCAACACACCGGCGCTCGAGTCAAAGTGAACACATACCCTGTCATCCACCAGCGTTTATTCAAATCTCCAGCGTAATCCGAATCTACGTATTTAATACATAGATGCCCACCGCTACTGTCCCGCTCAAAAACCAAACCAACGTTGAGAGTGAATTACCCTAGGGGGGAGGGTTGAATATGGTATTTGCTAATCTAATCCGATATTGATGCCAAATTAAAACTTATTAAAGAAATATCCTAGCAAGTATGCTATTCAACAAATTATATGCAAAGATAAACAAATATAAACAATGTGACAATAGGCGATATAAACAATGAGACAAGAATAAGTATGCCAATGCCAAACACAAACAATCAATATGATCACGGAGTTCGGTCATCCTTGACATATGTCTCCGCTCCTCACCCTCGAGGAGAGTCTCTACTAATCTCAAAAACAACTACACAATCAGTTTTTTAGCTCACCGAAAACTTTTATAACTCTCACAATGCAATCACACAACACACCGTCTAAGTGTTGGCCTAGCCCATGTCGCTTTTCTCAAGTGCTCGGATTTATAACATCTCCCTAGGCTTTACAACCGACGCCACTCTTCTTGGAATCGACCACGTCTCTCCTAACCACTCCTCTCGGTGTTCTTGTGTATTACAATGTGATCTCTCGATAAATAAGCTCAAATACAAATTGTTTGTTCTCTAACAAGATGAGAACTAAGTTTAGACCCCCTCTCAAAGATACAACCACAGCCCAAATTACTATGTGTGAAATTTTTTAAGCTCAAGGTGTGTGTGTGTAAACAATGAGTATAATGAAATCAAAATTAAACTCAAATCAATCTAGCATAAATATGAGAATTAAAATAATAGATAGCTAGAAGACGAGTTTAGAAAAACTTCTCTAAAACAAGAGAGATGGAGATATGAAGCTTGAAGCTTGAATTTCAAACCGAGATGATCCCGTCTTCTTGTGAAACTCTCTTCACAAAACTAAAACACATTTTTTATCTTTGAAAACTTGAAACAAACTTGTAAAAACTTATTTTTAAAACTTTTCTTTGTTCATAGCAAGTATTGAGGGCTGAAGGGTATTTATAGTTGCTCAAAACAATAGCCTAATACCTAAGAAAAACACCAAAAAAACAAAATCTAAAAAAAACTAGCTATTATTACAACGGATTACTGTTTGGTCGACCGATTGACAGTTTCGGTTGGCCACACTGTTCACAGACACTGTTCACAGAATCTAAAATCTGAAAATTTACATAGCTGATTTTATAAAATTAATTAAAAATATCAAATCAACTCAAAAAATAATGAAATTTTGAGGGAAGCTACTAAAATTATAGATAAACATGTTAGAGAAAGAATTTTTAAAATATCATTTTGCATTTGTGAGAAATTACTGTTTTAAAATAGATATTCTAAATTCTAAAAAATTGCTAAAAACATGTTTTTGTAAATTCAATTGAAAATAACAAAATAACTCCAAAATTAGTAAAACTTGGTAAAATATTTGTATATATGAATATGAACATGTTAGAGAAAAAATTTCAAATTTTATTTCTCAATTGTGAAAACTCATGTATTTTGCAAACTGTTCAAGAATACGAAATCGTCAAAGCTTGATTTTGATGAAATCTTTTCAAACACATTTTGAAACACTTTTCAATAGATTAATAGACTTGAGAAAAGATATAAAATAGTGCAATCAAGTATTTAATCCATAGATACATTATTTTTCAAAACAAAGATGATAAATATAAAATGAATGTATATGTATGTAAATATAACTATTTGTTTCATATTTTAAATTGAAAGCTATAAAACGAAAACATGTACGTGTGTAATATTTGAGCTTATACACATAACACATAAATTAAACAAACCTAGACTAACAAATCACTATACCAAGCTATAAATCTTCAATAAGCTTGATTTGGTAGGATGAAGCGCAATAGAGAATCTTTGACTTGAAATGCGATGACTTCATTCCTATTTCCTTCCAACATTATTTGAATGTGATCGTGAAAGCGCAAGTCCAACCAACCTCCGACTGAGGATCTTTATGTAGAATACCTAATAATCAAATATAAACTCTTGATAAAATTGTTAGGAATTGTTTGTTAATCATCAAAACCAGATTAGATATATAGGCTCATAAACATGAGACCTAACAATCTCTCCCTTTTTTATGATTACAAACAATCTATACAAAGAAATATAAAATATGCATGATACTAAATGAATATACAATTTATATTCCTCATGCATAAAAATAATAGAAAGCAAAAGCAGTAGATATACTCATAATATACATGTTTCTCCCCCTTTGTCAACATCAAAATGGGGATAATAAATAAGAGATAAGAGAGCGTAAGCTCTCTCTACAAATAAGCATGGGTGAGTATATAATATGGGTGTATCTTCTTCCTTCCTTCGGGAGCTTAGTGATCCTCCTGGAAGCTTGAGGATAGATGATTCTCTTGGTAGCTTGAGAATAGGAGCGTGGGCGGAACCGTTGGTGGCGGCGGAAATGGTCAAAAGTAGAAAAACAAAGAAAATCAGGAAATTAGAGAATCATGCCCTGGCCGGTCGACTGAAGGGATGAAATCAGTCGACCGAAGGGATGAAATCGGTCGACCGCAGAAGCAAAATCGGTCGACTGATTGCTCATCATCGGTCGACCGAAAATGGATACCTTACAGGGTCCAAAAACCTATTTCTAGTCGGTTGACCGAACTAGACATGTCGGTCGACTGACGTGGTTTTCCTGGGCCAATTTGGATTCTGTTTTGAGATGAATTCTAATTGGGTTTGACTTGGGTATTTGCCACTTTGCTACCTATATTATTTAACCTATAAATAGAGATTGTTTAGGGTTTCTAAACATCGGAGGAGAGATTCTAATCAAGATATTAGAGTTTAGTGATGATAGAGAAGTTGTTCTTTATTCTAGAGAGACTGTGTGAGAGAGATTTTGTAATCTTTTATTCTTCATAATCTAGAGAAGGTATTTTCCTTCGCCAATTGAATTATCTTGTGTATTCCTGTTATTTTCTTCTCAACCCCACCTTTGATAATTCCGTGATCACAGGTGCTCGCACGGCGACTCGTATCAAGTTGGTATCAGAGCAATCATATCCTGTGAAGGGGTATCCTATGTATGGTCCTTACTCGATCGTAATACAAGAAGACAAGTGAGATCTTTGTGTCTTTGGAAGAAGTCTAGAAATCAAGAAAGAAGAAGATGACAGAAAGTGACAATTCAACAAGGCTTGATACGATAGAAAAACAGATCAAGACAATCAGTTTCACTCTAATAAAGCTCGTCGATCTCATCC